GGGGAAGTTTGAGAGCAGACCCCTCACCTGCCCTGGAGCACAGCCCTCCAGCCCTGGGAACAATGTCTCACGCGTAGTGTGTCCCCAGAAAATGGCGGCCGTGTGCTGGTGACTTCATGGGTGGCAGAAACTGGCTCTTGCTGGTTGAAAGCTCTTTAGAACAGAACCTCGAGGCCCAGTGGCCAAGCTCAGAGGTCCCTCGGCTCCTAACCCCTGATGGAGGGAGAGGAAAGGGGTCAGGGCCCCCAGAGTCCACCAGCTTCCTCCACACCCTGGACACGGCGTGGAGGTTCCTGCTGTGCTGAGGCACCGTGCAGGGGGACGGGGAGAGGTGGCGGGTTGCCCATGGTGCTCAGGAGTCAAGCCTGTTCACTTGTTCTTTCATCCCCTCGTTAACAAGTGCTAATAAGCCCCACTGTGTGCACGCACAGCTCTGGGGTCTTGGGGTTCGGCAGTGGAGGCCCCACTGTGTGCACGCACAGCTCTGGGGTCTTGGGGTTCGGCAGTGGAGGCCCCACTGTGTGCACGCACAGCTCTGGGGTCTTGGGGTTCGGCAGTGATGAAGCTTGCTCTTGGGGGCTTGCAGTTGGGTGGGGAGAGAGATCCTAAAGAAGCTGCATGAGGAAGCCTGAGGGGAGAGAGGGTGCAGGAGGGGCTGTGGCCAGGCGACTGGGATGGGCCAGGCGGGCAGCGCAGCCCCCCCACCGCAGGCCTCCTGAACACCTTTCAAACGTCCTTCCCTTCTGCAGCCGCTCCCGCACACTCGCAAGACCTATTTCCTTCCTCAAGGTTTGTTTTTCTTCTTTCCTGTTTCACACATTTTTCGAGTTCATGAAAATTATGCATTCCAGCTTTTCTCCTCTACAGAAAAACGGAGCACAGTCTTCTAGTCAGAAAGCATTTTTCTGAGCGATGGAATCTCCCCGACGGCCCCCGCAGCCCACAGCGATGCGACAGTGACGTGGGGCTCCTGGCGTCCTGGGCGCCCGCTGGCTCTCTAAACCCAGCTGTGAGTGGGGCGGGGGGGAGCAGGACTGCCCAGGAGGCTCCCTCCCAGAGGCTGATGGTGGGGGACCAATTCCCGACCCCAATGGGCACTGTGAAGGGGGCGTTACCCTCCTGGGCCTCAGGAGGCCCCTCATCTTTAAAGCGAGGATATTCGGTCCCCGTTAGGGTCGCTGTGGGGAGCGGGGGATATTCGAGACGCATATTCGAGACCATTAGCTGATTGGCTGCCATGGTGACTGGCTGTCACCATGACTGATTACCCATCAGCTTCCGTCATTGTCGCTGTTGGGTGTCATCAGTGTCAGCCACCACCGTTATTTCTCATCCTGATTAGCTATTCTCACGATTGGTTAGTAGAGTTACTGGTTAGTGTCATGACTGGTTTTCACCAGTATTAGTGATCTTTCCCAACAGCTCTGACCCGTGTCTACCCTCAGCCCCCTTAAATGAAGCTCTTTCTCCCGATGTGGGATAAGCATTACTCATAAGCATTGTATCGGCTAAGTGTGTCCCCCCCCAAAGACGTGTCCACATCTACCCTCCAGGACCTCAGACTTGGAACCCCGACTTGGAAACGGGGTTGCTGAAGATGTAATTAGTTAAGATGACGTCCTGCTGGAACAGGGTGGCCCCTAATCCAGTGACCGGTGACCTTATGAGAATAGGAAACCCAGGGACACCTGGAGAGAAGGCTGTGACTGGAGTGGGTCCTTCCCAGCGGGGGCTCCGTGGGACCGCCCAGGTCCTATGGCCACAGACCCAGCCCTGCCTGTAAAATCCCTGCTTCATTAAAAATCTAAGGTCTTCTATTTTGCAAATACACAACTACTTTCTGTAAATGTCCTATGAGCAAAAGGAAAAAAAAATTGTTTTTTTCTCCCTGAAGACATTAAGGGATTTCATCACGTAACTCCTTCGCGGCCTGTCTTTTCCAGTCTGCCCAGTCTGAAGGGGGTGCGCACGGGGAATTTCATCAAACTCTCCTCACTTTTCTAGTAGTTCTTCCTTCTGCACCCAGATGCCAGGTCACTTTGTGGTGACAGTTTATAACTGTTCTGTCTCCTTCACAAAGAGATCTCTGTCCTGTGTGGTATCTGTGCTGATTTCTAGTTTGGGGGGAGGTGGTGTTTGTCTGGCAACCCTTTCCCACTTCATTGTATTGCGGATCTTTTTTTTTAAAAATCACTTTCGTTTAACTGTGTCTCTGGTAACCACAGACGGCAGGGCTGCGTGTGAGTGAGTGTTAGTGTGTGTGTCTAACTTTGTTGAATAGTCTCTGCCATTTGAAGAAGAGTTAGTTTATTTACATTTATTGTAGCAGCCAACATGCTTGATTGGGTTTCTTCTGTCTTACTTTATCTTCATTACCTACTTTTTGTTCCTTTTTTTCATTTATCTAGTTTTGACAGCTCGCTTTGCCCCCTTGTGAATGTATTCCATTCTGTCATTACATTGACAGCCACACACCGGCGTCATCCCGTGCCCAACATGGACTATTTTGCCTTCTCTGCCCCCTTCTCTCCCCTCCCACAGCTCCACCTCCAAGATAAGACCTTTGGAGGAAGACCTTTCATCCTTCCGTTTCACTCCCAATGCTGAGCTTACGCAGAGGCCCCGCCTAGGCTGTCCCTCGCAGGCGTCTCTCCTGTTCCAACTGCCCTCATCTGACACTTGCACACAGTCCTCCTGGGCAGCCCACCCCTGTCTACTCAGATCTCCTTCGGGGGACAGGGCCTGCCGAGGAAGGACCCGCCCAGTGGCCCCATCCATCCAGCAGCCGCCAGCTACACGACCAGCCGGGGTGCAGCCTGAGCTTGGAGTCAAGGGGTGCTCTGGGCTCTGGGTGCGGGCTTCCCAGACCCTCTGGACCACGCCGCGAGATGATCCCCACCCCTTTCGCCTCCTCCACGCCTTCCAGAGGCACCAGGGAAGAAGGCTCGGTGTGATCCCAGTGGGACTTTAACTCCTTAAAGTGCCAATTCCCTGCCTTTCAGCAAAGAGACAGCAGGGTTCAGGCCCAGAGCATGGGCATCCAGGGCTCTGAGACAACTGTCATCCTGCTGTTTCTCTCACTGTGTTCAGTCCTTTCCCATCAGCGGCATCACTGTTGCTCTTTCAATGGTGGCAGGATTTAGATCTAGTCCCAGGTGGCCTCCTGTGGGGGCACCAGGCTCCCAGCACCCCATCACGTCCCAGCACTGACCCCCGTCCCCACTACCATCTCTCCTGCAGGTGCAGACAGATGACCTACTCGGACGACCTGCCCCAGATCTCCGTGGTGTTCATCTTTGTCAACGAAGCCCTCTCGGTCATCCTGCGCTCCGTCCACAGCGTGGTCAACCACACGCCCTCCCAGCTCCTCAAGGAGGTCATCCTGGTGGACGACAACAGCGATAATGGTGAGGGGACCAGCCAACCTGGGGCCCCAGTGAGCGGGGCACGCTGGAGCTCCGGAGCCGGAAGTCTGAATTCGGGATGTGGGCAGGGCCAAGCTCTCCTGGGAGGCCCCAGGGAAGGACCCTTCCTTCCTCTCCCAGCTTCTGTTGGCTGCTGGCATCCTCAGCGTCCTGGGCCTGTGGCCGCATCCCTCCCATCTCTGCCCCCATCTTTATAAGGCCTCTTTCCAGGTATCTGTGTCTCTCCTTTTCTTATAAGGACAGCTGTCCTTGGATTTAGGGTCTCCCCCAATCCAGGAGGATTTAATCTCAAGATCTTCAACTAGTTGTATGCGCAACGACCCTATTTCCAAATAAGGTCACATTCTGAGGTTCCAGGTAGACATGAGCTTTGGGGAGGCTGCTGTTCAACCCCTACCACCGTCATCCAGGAGGGCCCCGAGCGTGCTGAGTTCTCCTACACACTCATCACACCTTTGCTGCTTGCTGCTCAAGCGGGGGCCTTGCTGTGGAGAAGATGGGCTGGCGCTCACGGCCAGAACCTCATCATGGCCCCACGTCAGCCTCCATCCACCCCAGGCACATTGTCCCACACCTACCAGGCACACGGGTCTCCAGCCCTGACACGGGTCCAGAGGCGCCCCGTCCTGTCTCGCCTGTCCCTCTACAGAAACAGAGAGAGAGGAACCTGAGCCCCACTGTGGGCAGCCCCTCAAACCAAGGCCCCGGGGGGCTGGGCTGTGCCTGTTCAGTAACTCCCCCCCCACCTCTCCCATCACAGCACCGCCCCTCCTCACCTCAGGAGGAGGCGAGTGGAGGAGAGCTGGGGCGGGGCCTCCCAAACTCCTCCAAGAAGGCAGAGGGGCCTGGCTGTGGGCTGTTGTTCCAACCCCACGTCTGGTCTGGGTCTACGCCAGGGAGACCCCAGCTGACACTGTCACAGGAGCAGGGATAGGTTGGCAGGGCACCTCCCTGCTGGGCCCACGTTCCCTGGACAGGGCGCGACAGTGTACGTCCAGGGAGGCAGCTCCCAGGACAACTGGCCAGTGCAGCCGGAGCCACCCGTGGGGCCGGGCTGCCCTCCCAGCAGTGTCCAGTAGACCTGGTGACTGAAGGGGAGACAGCGGGCCTCCTGATGGCAGATGTCTTCTGCAAGTAGCCATCCCACCCAAAGCTCGGGAGCCAGGACCGGATTCAAATCCTCCATGGGCCCCTCCTGCCCAGTCCCGAGCCCATCCCCTACACCTCACCTCAGGACTGAAATGGGGTGTCCCCTCGGGACTCAGTGCTCCTTTCCCACGCCTGTGACTGTCCTCCACTCTTCCAGCCGGCTGCTTAATGGGGTCACAGCCCACTTGTCACCTTCACAGCCAGGCTGCCCCTGCCCCGCCCCCACCCACCCCTGCCCCACCTCCCAGCCACGCCCCACCCACTCTCGCCCCGCCCTGTCCCATCTTCCTCGCCCCACCTCCACCCCCACCCTGCCCCTACCTCCGAGCCTCCTCCTCCAACCCCTACCTGTCGACCCCCC